CTGCCACTCCAATGGAGCATCAAGGAAGGCTCTGGACAGGATGAGGGCACAGTGCCTGCCTCCTTCCTCTACCCTTCTGTCTCTCCATCCTTCCCTCTGTTCCTCACATTTCTCTTGCCTGCCTCAAGCTCCTGTTGTGCTTTCTTCTGCCCCTCTCCCTAAAGCAGAGGGGCAGGTGTGAGGGCCTGGTCCCCCCCACCCATCCCTCTCCCAAGCCTGAGAACAGATGGTTGCCCAGGCCCCACCTACTCCTTATGTCTCCAGTGTGACAATGGAGACCCATCTTCCCAGGGTGGCCAAATTACTACTCTGTTCCCCAGGGGTCTGGAATGACAACCCAGAAGATGACTTCAGGATGCCCAATGGGTCTACCTTACCCGGAAACAGCTCAGAGGAGATACTTTTTCACTATGGAATGACCTGTGAGTCTGGACCTCACCATCCTGGGGCAGATGGGGCAGGCTGGGATGAGGGAGCTGGGATGCTGTCACCCCCAGGTCTATAGGAACCAGAATTCCATCCTTTGTAAGGTCTGAGGATTCTGATGCCACTCCGAGATTTGTCCCCTCCATCCCATGCCACCACTGTCCTCTACCTGAAAGAGAGGATAGGGGATGTGAGGGCTTCCCTACATACCCCATCCCCTGTCCTGAGCCATATAACCTGAGAGTTAGGGGCAGACACAGCAGAAACACAGCTGAGTCCCACCCTGAACCACCATCACCCTTGCATGTTACAGGGAAAATCAATGGAACAAGCCTCTTTGGCAAGAAGAGTGACCACCTGGCTTCCAACTTCACCCCTGTCTTCTTTTCCCAACTGGTGGCGAACAACTCCTCAGATAAAAATTTGGTGACCAGCTGTAATGGAGATAGGCAATGCATCTATGACACCCTGGTCACGGGTAATAAAAGCACTGGACTTCATACAATGATGCTATTTAGAAGATACCAAGAGATGAACGGCACCCTCCGTAAGTGGCGTGTGGCCCAGGGAGGCATTTTCAGAGCTGGGGGGCAGATAAGGAGCCGCCCTTCCCTGACACTCCCTTAAGCTCTGCATTTTTATTCACTTAACAGATTCTGTTGCTCACATTACTCTTGCACTCCAAACCTTCCCGTGAACCCCCAACTCACTAGGCGCTTGCGATGGTCTCAATGACCTGATTTGGTCCAGCCCATTGCCCATTCTGGCCCGCTCCTTCCTCTCCAGCCCTATGGGCTTCTGTGTGTTTTCCAAACGCCCCGGCTCATCCTCAACTCCAAGACTTCACACATGCTGCTCCCCTCCCTGGAGCGCCCGTCCCCCGGGCAGTCACATGCTTGCTCCCTCACCTCCTCCTTGCCTTTATTCCAGTGTGCCCTGGCAGTGCCTGTGGCTCAAAAGGGTAGGGCGCTGGCCCCATATGCCGGAGGTGGCGGGTTCAAACCCAGCCCCGGCCAAAAACTGAAAGGTAGCTATTCCAGTGCCCCCTTCTCAGCGTGCCTCTCTCAGTTATACCTTCTCTGCCTTTTTTTCTTTTTCAAAGACAGCCACAGAAGTTATGACTTCCCTGCTTTCTTTTTCTCCTTAGCATTTTTAACTACTTAATATATTTTATAATTTTCATAAGTATCTTTTTGTTATTTGTCCATTGCCACATCCTCATTACCTAGAACAGCGCCAGCTAGATAGTAGGTGCTCAATAAATACTCATTAAATGGCTGAATGAACAAGCAATGATAAGGAAATAGCAGGGCTCCTAGAAACAGAGACCCGTGAAAAGGTCTTACCCCCTCTCTGTTTCCAGACTACTGTGCTATCTATCCGGACATTACTGTCAAGGTTTTCAGCCCCTTTCCAAAGATAAAACTCTGTGGTGGTCTGCCCTGTCCCCTGACTCACTCTGTGCCATGTCCAGAGTAGCACTCTGTTCAGTAAACAACTTGAAAGGAAGCCTGCTTGAGGAGAAGAGAGAGAGAGGCTAAAGATTTGGCCAGGTGACCAGACAATCCCAACCAGATTCCAGAGGTGGCTCACAGACCTGGGAATGCCTCATTCATAGTTGAGAAAGAGAGAGGAGACTGATCAGGCAGGTGCCTATCCTGCTTCTGACCCTGTCCCCTCTGTGTTTCAGATCAGTACCCACCCTCTATCCATGGTTCTCAAGTGATCGAAGCCTACCAGGGGTGGACGGTGCAGTACCAGTACACCAGCGACGATAAGGATGCCGTGTTCTCACTCGAAAACAACCCTGATGATGTTAAGCTTTTTGGTAAAAATATTTGGCTGGGTGGGAAGTGCGGGAGATGGGGAGGAGACAAAATCAGAGTCAAACTTGGGGTCATTTTGCATCTCAACACCCAGCACAACTTTCTGCCACTTTTTCATTTGAATATCCAAGAACAGGTTTCCCCTGGTAAATAAGTAACGACAGGCTTACGGCAATTTGGCCAGACAGCTAGACTCACTTTGGGCAAATAAAGTTTACTCAAAGATCGCTTCATCTCAGTCTAATAATATGCAATCATCTTTAATCATCATTATGCATTCATCAAATCATTAGAATAATCAAGTACAACCATTTAAAAATGTCAGTTTACAACATTTTTATATGTATGAAAAGAAGAATAGCATGTGGAACAGGATTTAAAGAAATACAAATAGTTTCATTTGGTACCTTTCTCACTGTTTTCATGTTCGTTAACCACGCCTGTTAATCTAGCTTTGTTACCCTTGTCTGATTTTCTGTGCTTCATCTTTCCCTCCTGGCAATGTTGTTAGACCCCCAGGCCTGCATCCTTGGTCTAGATCAGAGGGTCAGAGCACAAGGGATGCAGCCTTCCATGTGTTGCCAGCACTAACTATGCTGGTGATCGTTCTTTGCTAAAGTAAAGCCCACAGGGACCATATTCTGAGCTCTGATCACCTCTCTGCTTCATTTTCTCTGTGCATGAGAAGGGACTCCTCTCTCTGCATTCTGTTTGCTCCATGTGGCACCACCACCACCACCAGGTGCAAGATGTAGCATCAGAAGATTTTCTTCTCCACTAGGTTCGACTCCTGAGGTGACATTCTGGAAATTACTCCCATCTAGTATACCCTAGTATCAACCTGCTATTTCAAGGAGACTTTCCTATTTTCTTGACAAACATAGACAGGTTCCATCAGAAGATATGTAGCAGGATTTCACTGCAGTATGGTGCCTAAAGGGTGGTGAGAGGTCCAGAAAGTGAGAGGTGGGTGAGACATCAAGGCAAGGGCTGGGGTTGCTGTG